GTTCTGGTGAAATGGCCTTCGCCTCGAATGTGTTAAGAAAACGATCTGCTCGAAACGTTGACTAGTAAAACATTTACACCAATAAGCCTGCTTGACATAACAAGATAGAAACATGCTTTTTCTGGTGTTCTCCAGCTTCTCTCTTCTTACAACCTCATAGTAAGTTGTAAATTCTCAGTTTCCTGCTTACTGATTTGATAGGTGGAACGTTTATTGAACTGGTCAAACGTTTCGACTGACAAGGAGTGAACCTGCAAGCCCTTGTGGACTTGTGAAGTTGTGCATGTGAGCCGCAAGTTGGCCTCCATAGACCCTCGCTAAGCACCATTTGGTGTTCCTCCTCTATTCTCGAAGCCGAATTGCTTCCTCATTTTATACTTGTTTTGGATAATCAGTAATTCCAAAGAGCTAGAACTCTTGGAGGGTATTGCTTCATCACAGCTAGAAAACCGCATGACAACCTGTCACAAGTTAGTTTTGATTTGTCCGGCTGTAAAGCTGTTGATGCACGTCTTTATCGAAAACGCAGCTGTAAAGAGTGCCGAGTCGAGAATTCACTAGGATTGGTGTGGGAGTCCGATTGCTTTTTGCGACATATCCTCTTATGAAAACGTGGTAAGGCAAGACGAGAAAAGGCAGGCAATGCATGAAGTTGTTTTGTCGCGCAACCGCGTGACACCCCAACTATTTTTGGATGTGTTTTTTTGTCGCACCGTTTTTCCTAATCATGAGGCTTAACCGAATTGTACGCCATTTTTAGCCTTCTTCAACGTATTGATAATGTATTATATCTAACCAGTCGGATCGGCCGGCTCACGCCGATCCTTCTGTCGAGCCCGACTTCGCCGGGCTGGCTGGCTTCGCCAGGCGCACTTCATAGTGGAAGCGGAACTTGTTCATTGACCGAGCTGCTCATATTACGCTATGTTGATCGAGACGTAACAGATAGAGTAACCCAGCGGATTCTGCACTTCTGAATCCGCTGGGTTACTCTATCTGTCTGAGTCCAGCTTATATTTGGAGGAGAGGAGGAGGCTGGTTTTGCCATAACGCCGATAGTACACATAGATCAATAGAAAGTACAGTCGGACAACTTTATTATCCGACTGTACTTTCTATCTATATCTTGATCTACTGTGTACTGTATCCGACGCAATATGAATCGCTCAGTAGATGAACAGATTCTGTTTCCATACAAGTACCAAGGCTTAAGGTACCCACGATGTTCCTCGATAAGCAAGAGCAGGCTTTTGCCCATCACTACACCAAAATATGAAGTCATTTCCAATCGCAGCCTGACTGAGAAGGCCTTTGGAATTCACGTCACCTCCAAACAGCTGCGAAACTTCTTGTATGGAGTCACCCATGGATAGCTACCTGGAGACCAGTACTCTCGATCTGGAAGACCTCCAACATCGAGCAGCTCCGACAACGTCGCTACGGTCCAGGATATCATCTTCACCGCAGTTGCCAAGACGCTGGTTGGTAGTATGGACCGGAAGTTCCTGGAATTTGAGGACCGCTATTTTCGTCGTGGACTCGGGACTGAAAATGAATGCTGGCGGTTACATGCCTCCACACGGAATCAAAGGGCGTTGGAAAAACTTTCGCCTACTTGGAATGGAAGGGCGCTCAGTACCTGAAGAAGACGGAATATCCAAGTGTGTCACCTGACCTAACCCCCTCAATTACCCGGTTCGGGCGGAGCTCAACAGGGTGGTCTACAGTGGCGGAGAAATCAACGACCTCGCTGAACTCAGACACCGAATCACGGTCGCGTGGCAGAATCTCTCGATGGCGCTCGTTCAGGAGGCTGTGGCGAAATACCGTGATAGTGTACAATATGCTGTTGAATATGGTAGTGAAAATGTCTAATCAGAATTTAATAAAGTGTAACTTGTAGCGCCTTGAAGGCCATTTAAGAGCAGTGTTTTTTTGCCCCCCCCCCCTTTTTTTTTTCTTTTCTTTTTTTTTTTTTGTAAAACCCACGATGAGTGCTAATATCACCTGAATATGATGGCGATAGTTGATGTTTTTTTTTGCCGAAACAGGACCTTTTCCGCACCGGTGCTTGAATGTGACAGAAATGTGTGCACCCAGAGATCCTGGGTGCACACATTTCTGTCTGATTTATCTTTGGAAATCTCGCTCTGTGCCCTATCTTGTCGTACTTCTTACCTACTTGCGATTATTCGTTGCTTATCCCTTGAACAGTTGAGTTCACCACATTTTCCAATTTTCAGGGCAATGTGGATAAAGATCGTCTTGTTAGCGTTGTTTATTACGCTGTCGGCAACAAGTGAGTCAGGAAGCAAGGAAACGCTCCGACAAGTCGATCATCCTCCACTTCTCGAGGAGCAACATCCTGATGTCGCTGTTGACTCAATGCCAAAATCTTCGCATAAACCTAGAGTGAGTTCTCTAGTAATCATCCCTACCTCATTTTCCATCTTGAGTTTAATGATTTCGTTAAAGGCAGAATATGACATATCTTTTTATCATGGTTTCCTCGCTTCATTATCCGTCATCATTGTCTCGGAACTGGGTGACAAAACATGGTTTATAGCTGTAATCATGGCCATGCGGCATTCGAGGCTTACCGTGTTTTCTGGCGCTATGGGAGCTCTTGCACTTATGACTGTGCTCTCAGGTGAGGTTTTCCATAACAGCACAGCAACAGCATGAGTTTCATGAAGAGGCATTCTTTTTTTTAATTTTGCATCAATTCTTTTTTAATTTTGCATCACGTTCTAAGAGGACGTTGCGCTTTTTTAGTTATGTTTGTATGCTTTGCATGTGCCAGATACTAAATAAGCGACAGTTGAGCTACCTCTTTGCTTTCGTCCCAATATTTCTCACTTGTTCGGTTTTTCCAGCAGAGTCATTAATTTTCATTTTTAACGCTTCCTCTTTAGTCCAGCCCGCATTCTCTGAGACTGTCCCCTTCTCATGTCTTCACAGTAGGTCACAAGGATCTGTGGTCCTCATAAGTGGCAGTTCTGAGGCCTCTCTAGTTGTCCCGCCCACCAATACTCGGAATCGATTCTCTCACGAATTCAGTTTGTGCGCCATGTTTCTGTTTTTTTTTCTCTCTTACAAGGGAGGTCTTTCAGGTCATGCGCGCTTTTTGGAAATGGTTTGTTGCTTGTTGTAGGGGTCCATACAAGGATCACAAAAATGGGTTTCATTTTTGCTATGCGTTTCTGGGTAGGTCAAAAACTGGTCCATACAAGGATCACAAAAATGGGTTTCATTTTTGCTATGCATTTCTGGGGAGGTCAAAAACTGAGTGAAAAGAATTTGACAAGAATGGGCGATTTTTAACTATCTAATGAGTTCCGTTCTGATTGTAACTTCGAGCATGCATAGTTTATGAGGTGCTCGTTATTAGGCTTCAAAAATAGATTTGAATAAAGTCAAAATGTAAGTATCATGTAGTAACACACTTGGCATGCACCGACGCAACAGTGATGTTTTTGTCAGCGGTCCCCTCATGCTCACTGTCGGCGGATCGGATGGCGCAGCGGATAACTCGATGGATTCTGGATGGGACGACGATCCAGGACTTGTGGATCGGATCCTCCTTGCGGCGAATTTTTTGCATTTTTCACCGTTCATTCATTTGCGTTGCTGTGTGTCTAGCAGTGGAAATAAGCCAAGTAAATATATGCTCGTTCCATCGTTCAGCGTACGCGTGGGTGACCGCTGAGTATGTCGAAGAGCATCCTGGACCGTTTTCAACTCCGACCGACTTCGGATTCAACGAAGGAGATGTTGTCGTCCCTTGTCAAGAAGACAGTAATTGTTCTTCTCTGGCGTTTGTTAGGTGTAGTTGGTGCAATAGATGCATATGCTTCACATGTTTTGTTGAACTTTGCCACAGTTGTTAGATTTGTCTATCAATGAAGGGAAATTTTCGTAACGAGACGAGAACATTCCGGAAACAGGCTTCTCCACACAACCGAGCTGGTTTGTAAGGTATCAGAATGAAGAATATGCCTTCAAATGGCATATACTTGGCTTATTTCCACTGCTAGACACACAGGAACGCGAATGAATAGAAAGCTGAGAAATGCAAAAATTTGCCGCAAGGAGGATCTATCCACAAAGTCCCGTATCGTCGTCCCATCCAGAATCCATCGAGTTATCCGCTCTCATCCGATCCGCCGACAGTGAGCATGAGGGGACCGCTGACAAAAACATCACTGTTGCGTCGGTGCATGCCAAGTGTGTTACTACATGATACTTACATTTTGACTTTATTCAAAACTATTTTCGAAGCCTAATTAACGAGCACCTCATAAACTATGCATGCTCGAAGTTACAATCAGAACGGAGCCCATTAAGATAGTTAAAATCGCCCATTCTTGTCAATTTTTTCACTCAGTTTTTGACCTCCCCAGAAACGCATAGCAAAAATGAAACCCATTTTTGTGATCCTTGTATGGACCCCTACAACAAGCAACAAACCATTTCCAAAAACACGCCACGACCTGAACGACCTCCCTTGTTAGATACTAGTAGCGTTGGGTGAAGCGTAATTTACTGAGCCAGAGGCGACAGGATATCTCTTCGCTCACATAAAGCGAACAGGGCCGGAGAACTCGTTACAAGATTTCTCTTCGCTCTTCTCTTCAGATCACCCGGCGGCTGAAGGTTTTTAATTAAAGCCCTCTGCTTACAATGCAATCGCATTATTTGTCTTTACGCACCCAACAACTCTTGTTGATAGTTTGGTTGCAGTCGAAGACTGTGTCAGAACCCATTAGTCTACGTGTCTGTACTGTTTTGCTCTTTTCTTCTTTCGTTAGCTTAATTTTTCACGCCACCTTATCAGAAACGTCAGTCACAGACTGAACAGGTCTCCTGCAAGGGTTTTCTATGTGATCGCATAGGGAAGCGCATAACTCTCTAACCCTGCCATAGTTGCATATTAACTTTTTGACAAGCTTTGCTTATTTTCAGCTTGTCTCGGCTGGGTGACGCAATTGATCCCACGTATGGTGACATATTATGTGTCAACGGCACTCTTCGCTCTTTTTGGACTCAAAATGCTCCATGAAGGTTACCATATGTCAGCTAGCGAGGGACAGGTTAGTGGACTTGAGTGGTTACTTATTTACTTAGTTTCCTTTCTGCTTTTATTACTGAAAAATACGCCGTTCCTGTAGAAACCGCCCATACTCTTTGATTGGGCACTGGAATGGCTGATATGTGAATACACTTGTGTAGACAGTCCCCGCGCTCGATAGAAGATTCCTTTCCTGCTCAAATGGTGGCGCTGCTGCTCGGAGGTTGTACTACTTTCGCGATTCCGCAGTGAGTGATGAAAGCGCTGCGACGTCCGCAAATTGAGACTATGCCAACTATGCTTATACTTTGGGGACGAGAATGCATGTGTCAGTCAACTTGTGTGGGGCCAGTCTGTAGCCTTCCAGCTAGTGATCGTAGAATACAAAACATCCTGTTTCTTTTTTCATACATTTTTGAGAAGGGATACATTCAGTGAAAAGCCATACATTTCATAGGTGGAATGCCTTTTGACTCTTCTTAAATGAACCGATCCCTTTCCCTGATGTATGATTATGATTACATTAATCCCAGTCTCACATGATGTTTTCAAAACTGGTACATGTCGTGTTTCAGCAGTTTTAGTAGTTCTTTTTTTGTCGTATCTCATCTAGTGGGGGAGGGTGGGTAGTAACGGTTGTTGGTCGTCGGATGGTAGATCGGCGGCTTATCGAATATTTTGGCAGTATCAGTGCAGCAAGTCCGGAGAGAACTAGTTCAGTCTTCTCTCGGAATCGCAGGGTTGTCTGTAACTAAGATGTTACTTAAGGAAGAATTCGAAGAAGCTCAAGCAGAGGTGGCCAAACGAGAGATGGATTTGGATGCTGGAAAGTTTGTAGACATGGAAGCAGGAAATGCTGGGCAGGGCAGGTATCCATTGCTGTGCTACTGCTAATTGTAAGATTTGAAACCTCTGATAATTCGAACCCTTTTAGGAGCTCTTCATGCGTGCTTGGCTTATTTCTCATGCGCTCCCCGATATTTTCATGCAAGCATTCAATGATGAAACTTTCGTCAGCCAGAATGCCGGCCAGAATCCGTTCTCAGAGACAACTATTATTCTGACTGCCTAGCGGGAAGAGACATACGTTATAGTGTTACTGGAATGATTTTTGATGTAATTCCGTCTTGTTGCCTTCGAGAAGCGCAGACAATTTGTATTTTCAGCGGGTGTTATCAGCGGAGGTATACTTGGTCCATGCCATTTGCACAAGGAAATTAGCCTGTAGTCCGAGGGAAAGCTAGCTACCGCCAACGAATCCTCGTACGAACAGGTAACCAGGCTCTTCATATAAATGATCTTTTTTTATGGGCACTATTCGCATTTCATGAATTTTTAATCGACCTTAAGCCTACCTCGTTTCAGTCACGCTCGTCGGAGGTGTTGTCTTTTTGATATTTGCTCTCTCATCACTCTTACATCCCAATGGATGCTTGAAAGACCATCAATATCATTACGGGTCGAATAGTTTGTCTTTCATAGAATTTCGAATGATAACATAGTAGTTGTCCATTCCTAGGCTGTTAAAGTCTTGCCTTGACTCACCATGGTAAATTTTGAAGCATAATTCTCAATGGTTGCAAAATTGACCGCAGATTGTACTTTTTCCATATCACACGTTATATAGAAAGTCATGCTTGCCATCGCACATTTTTCACAATTACATCAGGTACCAGGAAATGTTGACCCTATTTTACCAGTCCTCTGAAGAGTTAAAGGCATGAGGCACGATAATTCGGTACTCGATTGAAACTGTTGCAGGGATTCTATATAGGGGAAAATGGCGAAAAAGCGAAGTGAGAACAGGTCAAAAACAAACCTTCGTTTTTATGATTCACTCAGAAAGCGATTTCAAACGAGTTTTCCATTGCATCGTGCGCCTTAATCGGCGGTCTTCACGGGGAGGAGGGAAAAACTCACCCATGCGCGTATGCGGCGCGGTTTCTTCACGGCGCCGCGGCGGCAGGGCGGAGCGAAAGGCGATGGCCCGCGTCTCCGGCGCTGTGCTCCAATCCACCAGCCTCTTGTCTGTGGAAGGAAGAGGAGGGAGAAATAGAGAGAGAAATGGGAATAGAACAGATAGTGGTGCATATGTGAGTTAGTGGTAGTGGTGAGAGATCACACAAAAGTCGACTATCACGGCGAATTACTTCAGTGAATGGCGCAACTTGATAGTTCCCTTCGATTGTGAAAACGACGCAAGCTGCTTTTACGCGAAGTTCAAGCTGAGGTTTGGCAAATTGCCAACAGTTGGTTGTGAACCTCATAACGGTATAACATCACGTCCCGATCGAAGGGGATTATTCTGCTAGTTTCGCTGTTGACTGAAATAATACTCTGTTACTCGACTTTTCTGTATTCTCTGCTCACCATTACCATCAACTCACCTACGAGCGTTCACTGTTTCTTCACTCTTTCCTCTCCTCCTCTTTCCACACAGAGGAGCATAAAAGGGGGCTGATTGAAGCACAAAGACAGAAGCGCAAACGATCACCCTTCGCCTGCCCGCCGCCGCGGTGCCGTGAAGAAACCGCGCCGCATACGCGCACGGGTGAGTTTGTACACGGAGCCGTCCGCACGACAGGTGAAACAAAATTAAATCCCTTCAGTGGCGCCATTTCTGTTTTTCTCTGCGCTCTCATGTCCGCATGGCTTCCGTGACCGCTCTGATTTTTCCGTCTTTTCACGATTAATAAGTGGCTCACCCACCCCGGTGCCCTTTTCCTTTAGAGAAAGTTATCTCTTGGCTCAGGATATGTTTCTGTAGCTCTCGGTGCCTTGGCAGCCGCAACTCTCTGTTCCTCTGCGCTCTGTCCTTTCGCAGCAGGACCCCCCTCTAAAAGTTTTAGTTGACACGTAACCGATTACCGGTACAATAGATGCGGCTGCATGTACGTACTCTTATATCCATGCAGCACCGCAGCCGCTTCATATCAATCCCTTCGCTTCATATTGTATTTCGCAAATGAAGCGATACGAGCATCAGCATCGGTCGGACATTTGTGAGTGGGAGGTAGCGGTGGACGTCCAGTTGGTATGTTGCAGCTTGATAGAGCCCATAGGGCACCTTCTTTGGGAAAAGGGGCCACGAAGTCAAAGCCTGCCTGAATTCTGGCCTTCCAGACCGTATTAATCCTACTCTTCTTGGAAATTTATCGTGGCACTTGCGTTTAATAACGGACACCGCTGCCAGGTCTCTTTTTGTGCAGTTTTTTTTGTCTGAAAACCTCTGCGACCCTGCTCTCTTGGTCTACGCTCATGGGGTATTCAAAAGAACTGGTTCTTCTAGGCTGCTCTTCCTAGGCCTTTATCACTCGCAGTAGCGCTAGATTCTTATAACACTGAAGAGTTCCCATCTTGGTACTAAAACTGGGAATCTGCTATCATTTTTGCACCACTCTCGCTTTATGACCTGAACGTAACCATCGGTCAGTTGTCTAAGTCCCGCATTTCATTGTGCTGAGCCTCTAATCGTATAGGTTTGACTAGCTCGATGTTTTATGAATTTTAATGAGTTCCTATAGTTTGTGATGTGTTCTGAGACGATGTATTTGTTTACTGGAGCTTTCCCCTCGTTTGAAACGGATTTTCATGGTTAGGTATTCTTAGATGGATCAAAGCTTTGGGCTCAAGTCATATATTGCAGACGATTGTTG